CACTGGACTTGGTTTTCAAGATTTGAAGACGTTTCGCCACCTCTCCAGGAAGCTTTCTCAATTCAAATGTCTGGATCCGCAGTGAGTTTGAGTCTTATATGGACAAGGCCTTGTCACTGCTTGCTAAGCGGCTGTGGGGAGATCTTGATAAAAACATTTTTTACATGGTAAAAATGTGTTGGAAAAGAAATCCTACTGTACTTTCAATTTTCTAGTAAACTGCACAGATTTCCTTCCATGCAGTTTAAGGAATCTCCTCTTCCATCAGGGCCAGCTCTGCTGAGTGTGTATCTGACTTTTTTAGTGGTAATAGTGTTGTCCAAGTTGTAAATCTCTCATCCTCCTTAATATGAAGGCTGCTTTTCAGATTAATGCTCCCCTTGGCCGCTCGGAAAATGTAGGTGGATGGCAATATCTTGATTTGACATCCTCTCACTTGTTTTATATGTTCTTTGGTCTTCATGCTGCTGTTTCCTCATCAATGTTCTCAGTCACAACTCTGCTGTCTTCTCGAACCACTGGATTTATACTGGGTTTAAATTCAAAACAGTTTAATGTTGTTTACTAGTTGTGACATTTATAAAGGCAATTATATGGAGATTTTGTTCTGTCAAAAACCAAGAACACACATTTTCAATTTGCACTAAAAACTTGTAATGCTAACAATCCAGACTTCTGCTGTCTCTCAAATATATTTTCTTCTCCATCAGATCTTTGTTTCTGCTCTCAGATCTAATGATTCTTGCACAGATATTTTCTCCTTTTGTTTACTTCCTTCTCCTTGCGTGCAAATTAGTCTCTGCTTGAGTCAGAGATACGCTCACAAACCCGTCAGATCTACTTGTGGAACTTACTGATTTAAGATTAGTTTACATTACAAGTTTTGAGTCCAAGTAGAGGAAATCCTGCTCCCCAAAACAAAAAATGCGTGCCTTTGGTTGCTGGCAGGAAAAATCCTCCCAATAATTAGATGGGCATAATTGTATAGTATTGTATTTTATCAGAATAAAAAGGATGTGTATGCAAAGTTCCTTAGGGTGTGGTATCTGCAGAAGTTCTTGGGATCTTCATGTACACTGTGACCTCACAATTATATATATATATATATATATATATAAAATATATTACCTTTATACCAAACAGACAGTGTTTTTTTTTTCCTCTGGTCCAAACAGATTGATATAACTTAAAGTGACAAATAAACTGATTTCCCATGCAAATACATACGTAGCCTGATGCAGTGCTGATTGAATTTGTTATTCTTGTAAATGTATTACGTGGAACACCTCTTAGCATTTTGTATATTTATGCAATCAAGAGAAAATAGCAGGTTTGCGATTGTCTGGAATCAGTGTAGCAGCTTCAAGACACAAGTCTTCCTTAGGAAAGGAAGAGATTATTTACTTTCCACAAGAAAAAACTCAAAATTAATTTGTGAAATCACTATGAGAAAGTGCTTGAAATTTAAAATTTTATTAAAGGACTATAGTATGATTAAAAGAAATTTAGCTTTGTAAAAAAATTTATTTTAAATATAATAGAAGGTAACTAATTAAAGCAGCTGATAGCAATCACAGGTACAGATTTACAAAAAAGAAATGTTAATTATGGGGTAGACACTGAGTTAGTTTAGTTATATGTAATTACTTTAGTCGTGCATTGTTGATCGGCTTCACTCAATATTGTTTAGAAATTATCATTAAAACTTAAATCTATAAAGTTCTTTATAGTGAGTCTTCCAATTGACTGGCTCAACTATAACAATAGGAGTTGGGTTTACTTAATTTAAAGGAAAAGTAGTGCTCTGATACAAAGTTCTGTTTTTCCAGGCAGGCCTGATCCGCACCGATAATGGCGAGTTTTTCATCGAACCACTTGAGAAAGGCCAACAGGATGTGGAAGTAAAGGGTCGAGTGCATGTGGTCTACCGCAGATCGGCCATCAAGCAGGAGACAGCCCAGCGGAATGAGGACTTTCACAATGAAGGTAGGAAGAGAGAAGGAGCCTTACATCACTGGAAACAAAAAGCATGCGTGGGTTTAAGTGTTCTTGGGCTGAGAGACGTGCAGAATAGCTCAGCTGCATGGTCACTTACAGAAAGGATGGACAATATAGTCCATATGGTTTGTTTGCTAAAAAAAGACATATATTTTTATTTACTTATATACATATATATATTTTTCTGTATCATATTAAATTGAACTAAACTTTCTTTTCGTTGATCAGCTTGAGAAAAAGTTATCTGAAGTTTACCTCCAGGGTGCATGGTTGATGTTCTCTATAATATTCTCTGTTACTACTGTTCCGTAAAGTGTATCAATCTATACTGAAACAAAAAACTAACATTGTGCTGCCATGTCTGTATTTAGCAAGAGTGCATCATCCTAACCCCCTTACAATTCGAATGGTGTTTTCACACATGTAAGCTTACGCTGTTTTTCCTCCAAACGGAACAACAGTCAATTTGGCCAAAAATGTAAGGTTTACGTTTCTGAGTGCTTAAGTGTGATAAGACTTTTTTTATTTTGCCTTTTCTGTATTAGAATGTTAGCTTTTTAGCTCTTGTCAGTAGAGTCCTAATTTCACAATCTTACCTACTGTACATCATAATATTACCTACATCAGCAGTCATATATTGTTCTATTAATGATACCGACTTTGTTTATATTTATATTTAAAGTATGAACAGTTGGAGGCACCTTCAGAGATCTGGAAAATGTACCCTAAAGCCCCTGTTCTATCGAAAAGATTTTTATTGCAGAGGAATACTAGGGAATAATCAGCATGCTTTCACATTCCCCTAAAGCCTCGGGGTGTCAACATGAGAGAAATAGCACTCCACATAATTAGAAGACATAGTTTTCCCCTTACTTCCATTGCCAACCAGCTATCAGTAAATCCCTAAGCATAAAAAGTTGTAATAAGTGAGATTTATTTTCATCTTGCATCAGGCCAAAGTTGTTGGTTTATAAGCGCTTGATTAATTTGCAATAACTTATAAAAGCTTGTTGACATGTTTAAGTTTATTTTAATACATTTAATAACGAGGTAAACTAAATATGTACATCATAAAAAGAAACGGTTAATTCCATGTTTATTAAAGTCACTCCACATGCACAAGGAATTAATACCTTGTGTTTGTAATCATCTGCAAATCTTTATATCAAGTAAGCTGTAGACATTGTTGACAATGGAAGGACTTTAAACGGATCTCTACAAGCTGACAGAGATTGTTCAACTCGTGATCTCTCTTCCTGCAGTGCTGTCAGCATAAAACCATGATGGAAAAAAGTATATTTATGTATGTATATTTATATACAACTTTTTTCCAAGTTGGGGTTTATATGAGAAAACGGCCTAAGGAGAATGTAAAGTTAATGCTTGTGCAAGGAAAAGGGAACGAATGCGC